ACACAATTGCCATAATCTATTTAACAAAATAATGAAATATTTTATCCGATTTCGAGTTAGAATTTTATGCAAAAAAGAGGTATTAAAAAAACCAGTATTTAGCAGTAAGACCATGGCAATGCATTCCATTATTAAATAATATTAATTAAAATGTATTAATATTAATGATAAATCGTTCATTATTGTTTAAAAAATGTATTATTTTCTCATTTTTAATAATAATTCTGTTAAAACAAATATCTGTTTTTCTTTTTTCATTTCATATTTTGCGCGCGCTAATGATATTTAAAGTGGGGATGTGACTGCATCTATTGGTTTCGCCATATTGCTTCAGAACCAATGAAAAATCGAACAAGATTTACCAGACTTTTAGTATAGGGACTCTAGTCGCTTCCATATTGGAAAATCATAGCAAAGGAAACAAAGAGACTGACGTATCACTTGTAATGTTTTTTTAAAAAAATGGTGGCATGCAGCGTTAAAGCCGGCGGCACACGATGCTTGTTTTCTTGCTGGATTGCTAGCTAGAATAAATTCTTGCCACCGTATTGGCTACAATACATACACTGTCAGTACCGTAGCCAATACGATGGCAAAATTCTAATCCAGCTAGGAATCCAGTAGGAAAACAAGCATCGTGTGCCGCAGGTTTAAGGGGTGTAAAATTGCAGTGAAAATACGAAAGTAAAAAATACAGATTTTTTCGTTTTCAAAAAATAGTGACATGCGGTAAAGTAGATGAAAGCTTGTGGCAAGGAAATTAATCTCAAAAGTAGTAGATATATAAATTAAATATCATTAATATTTACAAATTTATTTGTTTTTTCTAATAAATTCTGATTAACATAATAATAAAACATTTTATTTATTTATCTTTACCCTTTTCATATATATAAATAATTTAATAATATTATTATTAATTAGAAAGGATTTATAATAATTATTATTAAATTATTATTAATAATAAAAAAGTCACAATAGTAGTGCTCAACAAAATAAAGTCATTAATTGTTATTTCCTTATTTAAATTATACCACATTTTGAGTGTCTCAGAAAAAACGCTGATTGGCTGATATATTAATATGGTCGGTCACTTGTTCCACCATCCTCATTGGTTAATCATCTTTTTACGCAACAGCACACCTCTTCTTTATTACACCATGAGTTGGTGCAAACCAACGATTGGGCCGAAAATGCTATTGTCTAATTCACTGCTCCGCTGCTTGATGCTTGCTGCGTCCAGTGTGAATTAGACAATAGCGTTTTCGGCCCGATCGGGTTTGAACCAACCACAAAGAGGATGGTGGAACAAGTGACCGGCCATATTAATATATCAACCAACTAGCGTTTTTTCTGAGATACTCAAAATGTGGTATAATTTAAATAAGGAAATAACAATTATAGCGTTTTCGATTGGGAAAAAGTTAGTGCGCACTCAGTTCACATCAACATTGGACGAGTTCCATGGGTTGTACTGAATAGTGCAAGTTCAAAAGAACATGCCAAGATGTTCAATGCTAAAGCTTGAAGTGCCATTTCGAATTGTAAGACTTGACTAGACTGCAGGAAGAACGTAGAAAAATAACCTCGACATCTTATATTCATAACTTTAAGTAATGATTTTTTATATGTAATTAAATAATATATAAGACTATATGTAATTAAATAATATATAAGATATCAAGAATATCATATATGTACATACTTATCAATAATTGTACACATTTGCATGCTAGAAGATAAGATATTGTATAATTGCAGGTACGATTGCAGTATTATGTTCTTACATTCAAGAAACATTGAAAAAAATGATAATTGTGAAGCATATATATCTACTGTTAACGAACAAGTAATCAGGCTTTCTGTATAATATCAATAATCACAATTTAGTCAGCATGGATACTGTTCAAGAGCAAGAATGAGATAGAGTGAGATAGAATGTATAGGATAAAATGAAATAGAAATATGTCACTAAACTATAAATGGTTGCCAAGTCATGTGATTGCAACAGCGAATCAGAATGTGTAACACCGGTTGCGCCTCTCTGATAAATCTAGGACTCTAGAACCAGCTTAAGGGTGCCGTCACATGCGGCGTAACCTGCGTAAGCATAACCTGCGTATTCTAATAATTTACTAGAATACGTTATTTTTTTATTTACTAGAATACGCCATTCTGAAAGCCGGCATTCACATTGGGCGTATTTCGCGAAAGATTAGAGAAATGCGGAACTAATGCAACCAATTGCTAATTAGAATTTCTGTTGTACACTCTAACAGAAATGCTAAACGAATTTACGATTGGTTTTCGTAACTTACGCAACTCGAAAAGTACGCCTCATGGGGAACCGGTACTTTCTATCGCATACATACAATACGCGTTTATACAAATTTAGAAGAAGAAAGTCTGATTTATAATGATCGTAACCGTTAACTTATGCCGGTGCCGGTAAAGTTCAACCATAGGATTTCATGCTTTCGTTCATATTAACTTGCCGTATTAGTATGAACGAAAGCATGAAATCCTATGTTAGACAGAAATGCTAAACTGTTTCTGTTGTGTACAACAGAAATTCTAATCAGCAATTGGTTGCATTGGCTGCGTTCAGCAGACTCAACAGTTTTGCAACCGTTTTATGATTGTCTGCTGAGATAGGACCATTCTTCTCGATCTAAAAGTATGATCCAATTAGCGCGAAGGAAACTTCCAACAGTTGCAAAACAACCGTTCTGCTGAACGCAGCCATTAGTTCCGCATTTCTCTAATCTTCCGCGAAATACGCCCAATGTGAATGCCGGCTTTTAGAATGGCATATTCTAGTAAATAAAAAAATAACGTATTCTAGTAAATTACTAGAAAACGCAGGTTATGCTTACGCAGGTTACGCCGCATGTGACGGCGCCCTAATACGTTGAGTTTGATACGTGCTCAATGGCTGCGTTCAGCAGACTCAACAGTTTTGCAACCGTTTTATGATTGTCTGCTGAGATAGGACCATTCTTCTAGATCTAAAAGTATGATCCAATTAGCGCGAAGGAAACTTCCAACAGTTGCAAAACAACCGTTCTGCTGAACGCAGCCAATCCTGCCTGCGACACAGGTTTGTCGCGTTGCAAGCTCCAACATGCTCCAACATGCTCCTACCATAGCTCCTACTCACTCTATCAAGCGCATTGGAGTGAGTAAGAGCTATAGTAGGAAATTGGGGGTGCGTTCCGTTTTACGCAAGGCTGCGTTCAGATTCCTCACCGGGTGGGTGTTCTCTGGGTGACTGGGTGAGTGGGAGCCTAGCGAAAAGCACCCGAGTGGTTTAGGAATCTGAACGCATTCATCACCACATCACTGACCACACCATCACAGTAATGGCGATAATAGAATTTGTGCGTATTTTATCGTCTAGGTTAATTGATATAGATCAGATCGTACTTGGTAAGATATTTATATTGATTTAAGCGCATAAGGGTCTCTTTCACTAATCTCGATTAACCGACGGTTACATGGTACGAGATTTAACTTATTTTATTATTTAAAATAACTTTTAACCGAGGTTTAACTTCTTTTATCATTTTATTATTTAAAATAAGTTAAACCTCGGTTAAAAGTTATTTTAAGTAATAAAATAAGTTAAATCTCGTACCTTGTAACCGTCGGTTAAACTTAAGCGAGGTTAGTGAAAGAGATCCTAAATATAATATTCTAGGAATATTTTGCGTTTATAGGGATACTGCTTATAGCAAGCATAACCTGAAATTTAAATTTTTCATATAGATACACGTCAAACGTGCTGAGATCGCACAGGAAGTCTTTAATACGCCATTACCACTCATTCCACTCGGCTCATGAAGCCGGGTGGTTTTTCCACTTTCCCGGGTGGATAAAGTAGGAATCTGAACGT